TGGAAGCTGCTGGACGACTTCTGGCGCAGATGGGTGCGGGAATATCTCCCAACGCTTCCGAGGCGATCGAAATAGTTCGAAGCAGTAAAGCCGGTGGAATCGGGCGATCTAGTCGCGATAGTAGACGAACATGCGAGGAATCGCTGGAAGCGAGCATAGAAGCTAGTGGTTCTGGACGTTTCCGGCAACGACAAGATGACAGACGAAGTCGCTCCGGATGCGGAAGTAGTTCACGGGTCGGGGGATGTCGCCAATACCCCTCGTTGCGGTGAATTGATGATGAACCAATTGACCGAATCCTCGCGAGCGAAACGCCGTTATCGGGCGAAATGATCGATAGCAGTAAACAAACATAACAATACCGTACGAATTTTGGCAAAATTGCAGCAAAATTGAAGCAAACTTGATAGTGCCGTTAGGTAAAATCGAGACGTTCTTTCTACCTAAACGGTTTATTCTACATAGAGACGGTAAGTGGAAACATATAGAGTATTGAGATTGAACTGGAATCGTCCTTCCATGGCAAACGTTGACCTGAAATAACTTGTAAAAGGACACTGAAAATGTAAGATAATTAGTATACAATTTACCTGTGTATAACCGCTAAAATAAAAAATAAATGACAGCTTTGAAGCTGCTGAGTACGCAATTAGAAGAGGGTGTTAGCAACCGGTGAAAACTAACGATTTTAAATTGGCTTACTACTTGACTAACCTATTGATCCCAAGTAAATCGATTAACATACTCCATTCTAGTCGACATTCTAGTACTACACTATGTTTGTTTTGATTCGCTGTGAACATCTGGCAGATAAATTGAGAGGGGCTCGTGGATTTCTCTATGTGCTATCGAGGGGTGCATCGATTAGCTTGGGACCGAAGAGAGTACCAGAGCTGAGGCAAAAAGTTGAGTCTTAGAGTTACCTCTATGGTGTTAGTTCTGACTTACGGAAACAATCAATGTTCAATGTTCTAAATCATCCCACATTCTCCTGGAGTATTAATTCTTGACAAAATAGCTAAATCACCAGTCTTCCCTGTAGAAAAATGTACAAACATGTTCGTAAAATCTAGATTCCATATGTTTCTATTATCTGGAGTATTTTTTAATATATTCTGATCAACCTGCAAAATGAATGTATGAGAGACTTCATTTTTATTTTCTAACAGTTGGAGCTCTTCAGAACTTGATCAAACTATCTATCTATGCAACGTTCCTTCAACAACTACAAAAGTCCCTTAAATTTAACAAAATCTCCTCAACTTCTACGAAGATCCCTGAATTTATTCTAGATTCCATCTCTCTTCATTCTACGATTACTTCTGGAAAGACCTCCATCATCTACAAATATTCTTGAACATCTGGAAAGTTCCATGAAATTTGTCGAAGTTCCCAAAACTTCCAAGAAGTTCATTTTTTGAAGTAAGATCTCTGACAAACTGCAACGAAGTTCCGAAGCGAGGATCCCTGAAGATCTCAGAAGTTTGCTGAACAATTTTTAGATCTTATAAAAATTCCCTGCACTTATGTGAAGTTTTATGCAGCTTCTCAAAATGCTACGAAATTCCCAAAACTTCAACTAAGTTTGCTGCACGTTTCTCGTTGATTTTCCACAAAGTTCCACGTATGGAATTTCTTGATCTTGTGCGTAATTCTCTGAACTATTCCAAGCTCATGAGGTTTCAAAAAAAGTATCCTGAAATTATATGAAGATCTCCTTGAAATTAAATAAGAATTAACTTCTACGAAGATCTTAAAACTTAAATAGAGTTCTCACTTCTACGCAGTTTTCTGAACTTTTCCAAAGCTCCCTGAGTTTCTACGAATTATTCTGAAGCTCAACGAAGTTCCCAGATTTTCTACTAAGTTTCGTCGATTTTTTAAAGTCATTATTTTCGATATTTTAGTCACTACCAGGGTCCCACAAAGTCACTTTCAATCGAAAATCGTCAAGGGACGATGAAGCTGTCAACCATCACTTTCAATTGAAAGTCATTATGTCTTCTCTTCGATCAGATCCCCGTCAACAACAACAGAACCACTTTCGGTCGGTTTTCATGCTGTTCGTTTTGGCTTGGCTCGTGTTCATGTCTTCTTTCATTGTCAAATGAACGAAGATGTTCGATCCAAATTCGCGCAGTTTTTATGGCTTTTGTTGATTGTTCACTTGGTTCATTAAAGCGTATGCGCATAAATCTGTGCTTGTGGATGTCAAATTTATCATTGTCGGGTGGTTTGTTTATCCATCAATATGGGTATTTTTTTGAATCGGGGTGACGTCTAGAGATCAAAAATTGATACGCGACGCCATTTTTAAATCTAGAATGGCGGCTTCCAGTTTAAGTCGTATTTTGAAATCGAAGATGCCGGCTTCCGATTTACGAAAAAGTGGAAATACAGTCAAATACACATCAAAATTGGTAGTTTTGTACAGTGCTGTACAATTTCGACAATACACGGTGATACTCAACATTCTGCTTTGGTCACTCGTTTGAGCTAACAGTCATCGTCAAGGCAAACCATGTCAATTGTCAGTGGCATTTTTGTCAGTGACGAACATGTGCTGATTTGTTTATTAGCTAAATTTAAAATGAAATTAAATGGCTTGAGGAAAACAATTACATGGAGCCATTAAAGTGAACAAGCATCTACGTCCTGAACAGCTTGGATAACAATAATGTGACTCAGAATGCAAGAAATTACCCTTTCTGTTACCAGGTGAATCTTTGTCATTGACGAAAAAATGAATGAGATTTTGACAAAGATTTTTTTGAGGATCAAGTCTATCATTGACTATGTGAAAAACAATTTTGTCAATATCGCGCAAAAGTCTGTCAATGACAATGACAAATCTCAGCACTGGTTTTGTAATCGGTATGAAGTCTACAGATCGAAAATTGATATGCGACGCCAATTCTAAATCCAAGATGGCGGCTTCCGATTTCAGAACAAGTGGTAAATGTTGTCAAATACCCATCAATATAGGTATTTTTGGAATAGGAATGGCGTCTAGAGGCCGGAACTCGGTATCCGATGCCATTTTGAAATCCAATATGGCGGTTTCCTATTTCAGAAAAAATGGGAACTGCTGATGCCGTCCCATCAATATGGATATTTTTGGAATCGGGGTGACGTCTGGAGATTGGAAATCAATATCCGACGCCATTTTGATATCCATCATGATGGCTTCCGGTTTGCGGAAAAGTGTCAAATACCCTAAAATGTGGGTATTTTCAGGATGAGAATGAGACGTAGATGCCGAAAATTAATGTCACGCCGTCTTTAAATCCAAGAAATACTGTCAAATACCGATCAATGTGGGTTTTTTGGAATCGGGCTGATATCTAGAAGCCAGACATAGATGTGCAACGCCATCTTGAAATTCTAGATGGTACCTTTCAATTTCAGAAGAAGTGTCAAATAGCCTACAAATGGCATCGAATATCGATTTTCAGCATCCAGATCTTAGGATATTTGACAATTTTTGTGAAACCCGATGGCCGCCATATTGGATTATAAAAAGGCATCGGATATCGATTTTTGGCATCTACGCAGCATCCCCGTTCCGAAAATACCCTATTGTAGGGTATTCAACACTTTTTCTGAAACCCGATGGCCGCCATTTTGGATTTCAAAATAACGTCGAATATCGATTTTCCGCACCTTCGTGTTGTCCCCGTTCCGAAAATACCCATATTGTGGAGTATTTGAGACTTTCTCTGACCCCGATTGCCGACATCTTGGAGTCCAGAATGGCCTCGTTAATTTAATTTTCGTTTAATATAAAATAATATATGATTTCTACATATAATCCGGATGCCATCCTTATCGGCAACCTATATTGTGCGGATACTATAGTTTGATGCCTGCGTCGTCAGGTCGTGACAAGTCGAATGAGTCCCGAATTGAAGTGAAAGTGGAAAAAACGAAGAAGGCAGTTTTCGAGTCATTCATTGCGTCAATTGAAACAAGCCTTTGCTTCAAATGAAATGAACTGAAGCACTCGACGAACGAAACAAGTGATAGTCCAGTCATGTTTGAAACGAGGAATGTTCATCGTGACTCGATAACAAGAAATACGATGACTTACACGAAAATAATATTGCTCGAAATGAATCGATTCTGCAGAGAGTTCATTTTCTTTTTCTTTGTTTGGAAAATGCAGAACTCTGGTCACTACTATTGTATCAAATACCCACTACCAGCCCTGCATGCATCAAATCCCTGATCCGAGCCTTTTTTGTTTCCAATCTCAGTTCCTCGGAGACTGTCAAAACCAAGGCTCATAATCGTCAACAAGAAGAGCTTAGGGCCATAACTACTTCAATGTGGTAGATCTAATGCCAGTAACGCACTACGAAAAGGTGATCTAACCGTGTTACGGGATAGGAGGTTTATAGTGATATGATGAGCCTGGTGGCCTAGAGGTGACCGTTTTTGCTTACTGAGCGGTTGATTGGTTCGCCTCCAAGTACTGAGCGGAAATCATGGTTGCAAGCCCAAACTTCTTATTATTATATAGCTGTTAGTGTAACGAAGCAATCGAAAGATCACACCACTTACCATGGTGAATCCTAACTACCTTTCCCATTAGTATAAATTCTTGAAAGATGTGCCGATGACCGTAAGGACGTGACCGGCGCCATTATTGATCTTGATAATACTGATTCACCAGTGCACACTGAGAATGGATTGCTTTGTGCAAATTTCGCTGGATTTACCACACGGAGCAGCAACTAAGAATTTTACGGTCATCAATGCTCATGCAAAAAATTTGAATAATTTCGAACGACTGTTGAACGCGCGCTGGTTTTCCCGACTGCCGTTATTCGCCAAAAACTCCGCTTCAAGAACAAACCACATGCTCATTAACATATTTAGCTAATCTCGTTTTGTTTTTTTTTTTTGAAACAATGACTGATTTCTCTCGTTTTCTTCTCTTCCAAAAATAAACCATCGACCGAAAACCTGATGACGTGGACCCTTCAAAAAACATATAGTCAACCTAGCGACAGGTAAGTCTGTGTATTTTTCATCCATTAAGTAACACTTTGTGCTGCAGCGCCGTCTGTCTTGTTCTGATTTACGGCACCGATTTTCTATCCCCAAGCCGGACACTTGACTTGAGTTTGTTATGCCATTTATTTTTTTTCAATCACCCTCCGTTGATAAGCGATCATTTTCATTTTCCCCATCGCCCTCGTTATCTCCTTCCCGCAAAATAAAAATAAAAAAAGAGGAAAGAAGACACTTCGCTGCCCGCAGAATGATAACAATCTTTTTGTGGCTGTGCTCCGTTCTCCTGCTAATGGTTGCTTTGTTTTCTTCTTGTAGGAAACGCAGCAGCCCGCAAGCGGCGTAAGCTTCAGCAGGCACAGCAGCAGAAGACAGGCGATCCGGCCGGAGCCGACCAGGGTCCCCAGACGAAGAATACCGTCGCGGTGCTGAACGAACTGAAGCGGAACCTGGTGTACAACATGGAATCGCAAACTGGCCCGGTGCATGCGCCCCTCTTCACGATGTCTGTGGTGGTAAGTGGGGGTTTTTCCCAAAATCGGGAAACTCTAAACAAAGTGAAGTTTCATATTCAAAACGTTGGGACTAATGATGCGAGAGATAATTCCAACTTTAAGTTGCATCATTATTGCGTAAGATGATCGATTTGTTCTCATTTTTTTTTTGATAAGATAAAATCTATATTGATTTGAGAAGAATGGTTGAGGGCTGTACCAAGGGCATCATGGAGCTTCATTAGGCAGTTAGTCATTGTGCGCACTCTGTTCGCTTCCATTTCGGTGAGGATAATGAATATCGAGCGAAGATATTAAATAGTCCCGCTTCCCACCGCCCAACCTCAACCTGCAAGATAGTAGCATTATAATTACTGATTAGGGCGCCCCCCAACCGGAAGAAGAATAGGAAGCGAACGGTTAAGCTGTTTGCCGTTCTGCCTACGGTATGGTGTTGACTTATTGACTCTTCTTCTAGGTCCTGGCTTTCCTTTAGTAATTCCTTAGTCTTGAACTTTGTTCCTGGATAAGGTTGAGGGGGTGGACGCTGTCGCGGGAATCGCTAATGAGGTAACAGTAGACTCTTTTTCATCGATGATTATGTCGAAGTCGTTGTTTTATCATGCAAGTTTTTCGAATGGGAGAAAGAGGCGATCGGGAAACAATTTTCCTACCTGCGTGGCTTTAATGTCCCTGTGACCTATGCAAACTATAATGGTAGCTCAATTAGATGACAGCTAGTGTTAATGAAGAAAATTGAATGTTATAGATTTCCTCGATTACTTCGTATTTTATTGAGAACAAACACAGTGGGTCATTGATAGATTAATTTGTTTCCACCAGCCACGTGTACTCTTCTTTTTAGGAATTTGAGGTTAACGTACTCTTTGAGCAGTTCATTCAGTATTGTTTAGTTTTCTATGAAAATCCCAAAAAGCGATTTGTTGCGCTTTGTGGTTCGGACAAAACTTTTCTGCCATCAGCTTGTAATGAATCTTAAAAATACTAGTTTTGCTTTGAACTTAGCTTTTCAGTGAACGGTGGATCAAAACTAAAGGAATACGGTGCGGATGGGGCGGACAGGAAATAACCAGGACAACACTTAACAGTGAACAAGTTTTATTAACGATAAAGTTATCTTGGTATGACTGCTCTCTTCAGTGTCTTGATATGGAATGACGCTAGAAAATTGATTGGAGTGTTCAAGGCAGCAATCCAACGCCTACTTTGTTAACACCCCCTCTCGTTTGGATACTCCTAGCTTCGTCCTTAATTCCTCGAATCGGCCAGCGTCCAAGGACTTGGTAAAGAAGTCAGCTAATTGATTCTCACTTGCAATTGGTTCTATCAGCAGCTTCCCAGCGGTGACAAGATCCCGAAGAAAATGATGTTTGATATCAATATGCTTCACTCTCTTGCTCTCTACGTTCTTAGCCATGCCGATGCTCCCACGATTGTCTTCATATATGGCAACTGGCTCGATCTGCTTTTCACCCAAATCGCCTAGGACACCAATCAACCATATTGCTTCCGATGCTGCAGCGCTTAACGCCACATACTCTGCTTCACTTGATGAAGTGGCGACCGTCGTTTGTTTTTTACTAGACCAGGCAACAGTCGATCCAAACACCTGGAAGATAAATCCGCTCACTGACTTCTAACTGATTCCCAAAATTTCTGAAGTGATTAAGCTCTTTTAAAAGTGAGTCAGATCATTTCTGAACTGATTCAGTACTTTCAGAAGTGATTATGAACTTTTCTGAATTGATTCATGTCCTTCCCAAGTGATTCCAAACATTTCTGAAGTAAATTAGTACTTTTCAAAGTTATTCCGAACATGTCTTATATGATTCACTTCTTTCCTAAGTAATTACGAACATTTCTAAAGTGATTCAGAACTTTTCGAAGTGTTTCTGAATTTTTCAAAATTGATTAAGCACTGTCCAAAATGATTTAGAACTTTTCTGAAGTGATTCAGTACTTTTCGAAGAGATTTCGAACGCTTCTGAAGGGATTTCGTTTGTTTGGAAGTGATTTCAAATTTATAAGTGATTTAGTACTTTCAGTAGTGATTACGCATTTTTCAAAAATAATTCTGGCTTTCCAATGTGATTTGGAACTTTTCTGAATTAATTCTGTACTTTTCGAAGCGATTTCGAAAATTTCTGAAGTGATTAGAAGTCAGTTCAATTAGTTCTGAATTGATTCAGATCCTTTCGAAGTGATTCCAAGCAGTAAAGTGAAGTGATTTCGAACATTTCTTAAATGATTCATTTCTTTCCGAAGTAATCCTGAACATTTCTGAAGTGATTCAGATTTTTTTTGTAGTATTTCTGAATTTTTCAAAAGTGATTGAGCACTTTCCAAAGTGATTTAAAACTTTTCTGAAGTGATTCAGTACTTTTCGAAGAGGTTCCGAACGTTTCTCAAGGGATTTAGTTTGTTTGGAAGTGATTTCAAATTTCTGTCTGGAGTGATTCCAATAACTTCATAAGTGATTTAGTACTTTCCGAAGTGATTACGCAATTTCAAAAGTAATTCTGACTTTCCAAAGTGATTGGGGACTTTTCTGAGGTGATTCAGTACTATTCGAAGAGATTCAGTACTTTCAAAAGTGATTTAGAACTTTTCTGAAGTGATTCAGCACTATTCGAAGAGATTCCGAACGCTTCTGAAGGGATTTTGTTTGTTTAGAGGTGATTTCGAATTTATGTCTGTAGGGATTCCAATCATTTCATAAGTGCTGTAGTAATCTTCGAAGTGAAGTGACATTTTTCAAAAGTAATTATGGCTTTCCAATGTGATATGGAACTTTTCTGAATTAATTAAGTTCTTTTCGAAGTTATTCCGATCCTTTCTGAAGTGACTCAGTACTTTTCGAAGTGATTAAAAAATTTCAAATGTTAGTAAGTAGGGTAGAGAACTACTTCGGCCTAATCGCCCATTTTGGGCCTATCGAGCAGAAAACTTCAAATAAATCCATGATTTCAGAGTTAACACGTCAATTATGCGTTTGGTACGATACTTTAGTTAATAAGCTTCCGAACGAAGTCAATGAGAACGCGTGATATGAAGGTTTGCACCCATTATTCCCAAAAACAAAAGAAACGCTCCGACCGAATCAATTTTTAACTTCATCCGACAGGCCGAAGTGAATTCAGTGGCGTTTCAATGCGTTAGGCCGATTTTAGAATCCGTAGGCCGAGTTTGGCGTCAAGAAGCAGTGTTAGACTTTTGACAATATCTCAACGATTGGTTTCTCTTTATCAAATCTTACGGTACATACGGAAAGGTAAATAAATTTGGAAGCCATCAGTAATAATAATGGGGTAGTTAACCCTACTTTTCGAAGTGTTTTTGAACTTTTCTGAAGTGAATCAGTACTTTTGGAATCAATTCAGAATATATCCGGGATAATTCAGTTCTTTTAGAAGTGATATCAATTTTTTATAGTTATTCAGTACTTTCCGAAGTGATTCAGAACATTTGCGGAGTGGTTCAAAACATTTCCGAAGTGATTCAATACTTTCCGAAGTGAATCCGAATATTTCTTAAGTGATATAGTACATTACTAAGAGATTAAGAACCTTTCTGAATTGGTTCAGTTCCTTCCGATGTGATTCCTAACATTTTTAAAATGTTTCAGTTCTTTCAGAAGTCATTTTGAATGTCTTTGAAATGATTCTCTCCGAAATAATTCTGAACATTTCTCTAGTGATTCAGTACTTTTCGAAGTGATTCCGACCTTCTTTCTATAGTGATTCCAATAATTTCATAAGTGATTTAGAACTTTCCAAAGTGATTACGTTTTTTAAAGTAATTCTTGCTTTCCGAAGTGATTTGGAACAATTCTGAATGTATTCAATACTTTTCGAAGTGATTCCTTATATTTCTGAAGTGAATAAGTTCTTTTAGAAGTGAGTCCGATAATTTCTGAACTGATTCAGTACTTTCCGAAGAGATTCCGTTCAGACGCTATTTCGATTCGAAGTGACGTTTTCGTTCTTCAATTTACTCAAAATTGTCAAAGAAACCAGTTGGAAAAAATCACTCCAATCCAAAATCTCCGATTTTTTGCAAAAATGTGAATGATTGCCCAATACCAATTGTTCAAAGATTCATACAAATCGGAGATAGTCGAGTTTTTTAGATTCGTCGTTCATTAGTGACTCAAGGAAAAAATCCGTGGGCGTTTCTTAAGTTTAAAGAACTTAAGGAAAATTGTGGAAACTTCAAGGCAATTCAATTAATTTCAGTAAAATACCGGTCTCTTATAAAAAAAACTTTGAAGTTCAGGACAGTCTAGAGCACTTTAAGGTAATTAAAAAAACTTTTGGTCAATTTTATTAACATCAGGAAAGTCTAGACTATTGTTGATTATTTAAGGGCAGTTCCATGAACTTCAGAAAAGTCTTGAGAACAGTCAGTGAAAATCATAGGACTACATTAATTCAGTACAATTATTTCGTTTCGATTCCAAGAAAATTGCGGGAGCTTAAAGAAGGTTCAGAAATTTCAGAAAAACTTTGAAAATTTCACAGAAGTGCAGAGATTGGCAGAGAACTTCATAAGGGAAGATCCGAGAACTTCAGGGACTTTCATGAACATTAGCAAAATGCGGGAGCATTTCAATGAAGTTTAGTAAGCTCCAAAAATATTTCCATTAGTTTCAGAACATTAGCGGGAAATTATTGAGTTCTTCACATAAGTTCAGAAGTTCACGGAAACTTAAACATTTTAGGGAAGTTCAATTAAATTCAGGACAGTACAACAAGCTTCATGAGAACTGTAAAAACTTTAGAGAAGTTCCGAGAACTTCAGGATAGAACAGGGAACCTCAGAGAAATAGCATTAACCGTAGAAAAATTACATAGGTTTTAGAAAAGTTTCGAAAGCTTCAGTTAATTGTTAAAACTTTAGAGAAGATCTACGATCGTTAGGATAATTGAGGAAACTTTAGCAAGTCCGGGAACTTCAAAGCAGTTTCATTAACTTCAGTAACAATTTGGGAACTTTCAAGTAGTTCTGGCGACGTCAGAATAGTCCTTTCCATATTCAACGGAGATTTCTCATGAAAATTCACTTCGAATTCTCCTCAGCATTTGCTTTGTATTCTTCCGAAACTCTAGACATTCATTTGGAACGCTTCTCTGACTTCTTATAAAAATATCACCAGAATATAATTAGAAAAGGAAAGATTCTCAGAATTTTCATTGAATTCATTTCAGATTTACTCACATTGATAGTGTCCTAAGAATTCATTTGCATGTCGCCTCACTAATTTCTTAGATTGCTCCTCATAACTTGTGTGGCAAACTCTCCTGGATTTTCCTAAAATTCCTATGAGTTTTCATTAAAATTTACTTTGAATTCAATTCTGGGATTCCTTGAAATTCTACTCAAAACTATCTCAGACTTCTCACATAAAAACTAAAATTCATCAGAACTACCTTGAAAGCGGATTGCGCTTGATGTTTTTCTCAAAGATTGTTTTCCCTGAACTCCGTTGGAATGAAGTCCTTAGAAATTATAATAACATTCCATGAACCTTTAAAACTGACAAATAATATTTCCTGACGATACACGGTTTTCCAGGTTTGTTCAGGTAGTAGACACCCTGGTTAACCCTAACTATAAGTCATTATTTTGTCACTTATTTCTTCAACATGCTCCCTAAAATCACTATTTTTGACAGCATTCATTGCTACCACCTCTGCTTAAGCTTAGTCTCAATTGCCGAGTTAAATCTAATTCGTAGTTAAAAGTGACATTTCGGAGATTATTTTCCATGTTCGAAAATCTGTGTTTTCGATCCATCGGTTTTCGAGCAGAACTTAGGCTCGGTTGTCAAAATCTAACATCTTGTATATCAGAAATAATCACGCTCGAATAGCAGGGTTAATCGATAACTTTCCATCTCTCACTTTTAACTGCGAGGTTAATTTAGCTCGGCAATTGGGACACAGCCTTAGGGTATTTGCACGATAAATGGTTTGAATAAAGAAAGAATACAGTTGTAACGTTTGTGCTTTAATACATCGTAGCATTTTCCCTCCTCCACTGAGGATATAAAGAACGTCTCATAACGTACGCTCCCTGTCTATCTTTTCCAGGTCGACGGTCAAAAGTTCATGGGTCACGGCCGGAGTAAAAAGTTGGCGCGGATTGAAGCTGCCGCGGCAGCCCTGCGAAGTTTCATCCAGTTCAAAGACGGTGCCACACTAACCCCGATCAAACCACTGCAGAACGTGGACTTTACCAGCGACGATCCGATGATCGATAACAGCATATTCCCGCTGTCGGATCCGCCGGCGCTGCCGGAATCGGTTGTGACTACTCCGGCGGCTGCGGCTGTGACGACGACGCCGAACAACAAGTCCAAGGGACCGTCCGAAAGGGAACACAAGGATCGCCAGAACGGACCCAACCACAACAATAACAATAATAATAATACCAACAACAACAACAACAACATCAACATCAACAATGTGCACTCAACAAACAACAGTAATTCCCCTTGTCAGCCCAGTCCAAGTTCAAATTTCAGCCATCATAACAGTACTACCACTAGTTACTATCACCAAACCGCTAGCCCTAACAGTACTACTAGTAAACCCAGCTACAATAACAATAACATTAACAATAGCAACACTACTTCCGGTTTTCCTACGTCCCATCCCGGTTCCTTCTGTAACAATAGTACACCACCGCAAGGACACTTCCATTCCCTTCACAACCAAAACCATTACACCTACAACAACAACAACAACAATCACTATTCGAGTTACCACTACCACAACCAACACGAAAATTATCTGCAACTGCAAAAACAACAACAACAACACCACAATCATAACCAAGTGGTGCCGCATCAGCAGTCTACCAATCACTACTACAGCAAGACCGGCAGCAGTGCGAATGCCTTCGCCGCGGCCATTGCAACGGTTGCCTCCAACTCCTCTTCCACCAAAATTGACAATACCACCAATACCACCAAAACCACCACCATCACTACCACCATGAACCATAGCAGTAATGCCAACAATAGTAATAATATTTTCTTTACCACTAATACTACTACTACTACCATCCGACTAACCGATAGTAATAGTAATAGCAATAGCAACTGTTCCAACTATTACCACTTTCAACCAAGAAAGCGTTTGTCCAGTGTTATTAATTATGAATCCTTTAATGCTCCACCACCACTATTACCAACGCCTAAATCACCACTACTGCCAATACCACCAACACATCGACACCTTCGTGTACAATTACCACCACCATCACCAAAACCATCTCGGCTACCACCACCAGTCTTAGCGACTACTACTGCTGCTTGTCCTCCGCCAGGCGCCGCCGCTGCTGCGACAAACAATAGCAGCGGCAACAGTGCTGCTGGTGGTAGTGGTAGCCATGCTTCAAGCCATGCCAACATCAACCCGAGCAACAGCAACAGCATCATCGGCAACAACAGCAGCAGCAGCAGCAATAGCAGTAGTAGCAGTGTAGGTGGTGGATCGACGCCGACAGCTGCTGCTGCAGCAGTGACCCCCGTTAGCGCGCATAACGGCCATCGGCAGGTGGTCGAAAAGATACAGCAAAGTTTAGATCTATTTAAAAATTCCAATGAAAAGAATGTAGCATGGAAGAAGCGATTAGAAAGCAAGTATCTTTTTCAGTTTTATATTCAATTTTTTTTTTAATTTCATTAAGTATATTATTATTTGTTGCCTAAGTTGTTCGTTATCTGTGTAATATCTATGTAGTCACAGTTGTTTCCCCCGTTCCATACAAACACACACACACCCCCATGTATTCTTTTGTTTTTGGAGTTTTTAGTGTCTGTATCTCTTCTATTCCTGTACTTTCGATCTCACGTAATTACCCTCCACCCGGGTACAACAACAACAACAACAACAACATCGGTAGATTCTATGTTTAGTGCTCACCAATTTCATTTCCTCGACCTCACTCTGTAGGCCTACTGTCAGCAGCATCTGTGACATTATGGTTTCAAACTATTGGTTGTTTTTATTCATTGTATGGGATTATTTCTGTCACGTAAACACTCACATAGACAACGACACTTACACCACAAATTTACTAATCGATGTGTGCTAATTGTGCTTTTGTGCAACTCGTTGTCTACTTATCTCTGTCTGCTCCTATTGCTCACATGAGCGTTTTGTAACGGTATCAATAATGGGGGCCACTTGCCGAATGCATTCTGAATTGAAACGTTAACCATCCAATATTTCTTATCAATCTGAATAACTTTACCAAAGATAACGACCTTCTACCTAGTCGAGTTGTCAAATGGTACACTAGCAAACGGTACAACTCCACCATCCAAGGTCTTGTTCGTATGATCAACTTTCCCAAAGAAAACAATCTTTCTACCTAGTTGACAACTCGAAGTGAGTAGTTAGAAGTCAAATGATTGCATTCTGAACAAAACTATTCACCGCCCAATGTGTTTTGCTCATTTGAACAACTTTGCAGAAGACAGCAACCTTCTATCAATTTATGCAAGCAATGAGAAGTCGAATGGCACACGGGCGCCTAGTTTAAGAAAATAATTACTCACATGCTCTGAGAAAGACTCAGGGTAACAGGAAATCGGGAAAACCGTGAATTTTGATGACAAATCGGGAAAAAATATACTTCGTCCCCTCTACGGAAAAATGGAATGATTTTAACGCCCTTGGGCTGGACTGGATTTTCAGGACTTTGTCAAATTTGAAGAAGTATTTAAAAGGAATTCGTGTGACAGGGTGTCCACTACCTGGGAAAACCTGGAAAATCAGGGAATTTATTTTTGGACCTGGAAAATCAGGGAATCGTAGGAAATTTTATTCAAATTCAGGAAAAAATTTCTTCATTACAGAAACTTATGAATAAGTATGGCTAACTTCGCTGGTTTCAAACAACTTAATTACTCGGTGTAGTATGAGGATGACTTTTCGGAACTGTGTCATTTTGCGAAAGGAAGTTTCGCCGAAGAACATTTCGCTGAATGGGCCATTTCGTCGAATTTTAATCATGAATCAATCTGAAAGAACTGGTCGTGTTCAAAAGAAGGAATCATTCCTATGAATCAAAAATATCTATTATTTGAAAATTTCTGAAATCAGTACAGCTCGTCATGGATACCAAAATTAATTAAGTGGAATTAAATCGAAGATAACTTGTTTTTGCTGTTTAGCTCGTAGGACTTCCGAGATGTTCACAGAGCTTCCAAAACGCCCATAGAACTTGCGAGATGTTCATAGAGATTCCGAGCAGTTCATATCACTTCCGAAACGTTCATAGTGCTTCCGAGCAGTTCGTATGACTTCCGAGATGTTCATAGTACTTCCAAAACTCCCATAGAACTTGCGAGATGTTCACTGAACTTTCCAGGAGTTCATTGGAATTCTGAATCGTTCATAGAACTTCCGAGCAGTTTGCTCGACTTCCGAGATGTTCATAGAACTTCCAAAACTCTCATTGAACTTCCAATATGTTCATAGAACTTCCAAAACTCCCATAGAACTTGCGAGATGTTCATAGAGCTTCCGAGCAGTTCATAGAATTTTCGAGATGTTTATGGTGATTCCGAGCAGTTCGTATGACTTCCGAGATGTTCATAGAACTTCTAAAACACCCATAGAACTTGCGAGATGTTCATAGAGCTTCCGAGTAGTTCATAGGCCTTCCGAATCGTTCATAGAGCTTCCAAGCAGTTTGCACGACTTCCGAGATGTTCATAGAACTTCCAAAACTCCCATAGAACTTGCGAGATGTTCACTGAACTTTCCAGCAGTTCATTGGAATTCTGAATCGTTCATAGAACTTCCGAGCAGTTTGCACGACTTTCGAGATGTTCATAGAACTTCCAAAACTCTCATTGAACCTCCGATATGTTCATAGAACTTCCAAAACTCCCATAGAACTTGCGATGTGTTCATAGAGCTTCCGAGCAGTTCATAGAATTTTCGAGATGTTTATGGTGATTCCGAGCAGTTCGTATGACTTCCGAGATGTTCATAGAACTTCTAAAACACCCATAGAACTTGCGAGATGTTCATAGAGCTTCCGATCAGTTCATATGACTTCCGAAACGTTCATAGAGCTTCCAAGCAGTTTGCACGACTTCCGAGATGTTCATAGAACTTCCAAAACTCCTATAGAACTTGCGAGATGTTCACTGAACTTTCCAGCAGTTCATTGGAATTCTGAATCGTTCATAGAACTTCCGAGCAGTTTGCTCGACTTCCGAGATGTTCATAGAACTCAAAACTCTCATTGAACTTCCGATATGTTCATAGAACTTCCAAAACTCCCATAGAACTTGCGAGATGTTCATAGAGCTTCCGAGCAGTTCATAGAACTTTCGAAATGTTTATAGAGATTCCGAGCAGTTCGTATGACTTCCGAGATGTTCATAGAACTTCTAAAACACCCATAGAACTTGCGAGATGTTCATAGAGCTTCCGAATCATTCATAGAGCTTCCAAGCATTTTGCACGACTTCCGAGATGTTTATAAAACTTCCAAAACTTTCACAGAACTTCCGAGATGTTCATAGAATTTTCGAGCAGTTCCTTGATTTTTTTTTAAATTGTAGTTACTTTAACACTTTCGGGTCATTCGTGGCTTGTCCGGGGGTGAGATTTGAACTAGTGACTTGGGTCTGAGAGGTATAGATGGTAACCACTACGCCGGGGTCGCCCCCATTCCTAGATGTTCATAGAACTTACATAACTCCCATAGAACTTGCGATATGTTCAAAGAGCTTCCGAGCAGTTCTTTCGACTACTGAGATGTTCATAGAACTTCCAAAACTCTCATAGAACTTCCGAGATGTTCATAGATCTTCCGAGCAGTTCATAGCGCTTTTGAACAGTTCATTGAACTTCCGAGGTGTTCATAGAAACTTCCAAGTTGTCGATAGAACTTTCGAGCAGCTCATAGAACTTCCGAGTAGTTCATTGAACTTCCGAAATGTCCCTAGAACTTCCGTGCAGTTCACAGGACTTTCGAGAAATTCATAGAACTTTTGAGATGTTTATGGATCTCCCGAGATGTTCATAGAACATTCGAGGGGTTCACAGAAACTCCGACCAGTACACAGAACTTCCGAGATGTTGATAGAATTTCCGAGGTGCTCATAGAACTTCAGAGATTTTCATAGAACTTCCGAGATGTTCAAAGAATATCCGAGCAGTCCATAGAACTTCCCAAACTCTCATAGAACTTCCGTGGTATTCATGGAACTTCAGAGATTCTCATGGAATTTCCGAGATGTCTATAGAACTTCCAAAACTCTCATAGAACTTCCGTAATGTTCATAAAACTTCCGAGATGATCATAGAACTTCCGAGCAGTTCATAGAACTTCCCAGCAGTTCATAGATCGTCTGAGAATTTAATTGGACTTCCGAGCAGTACATAGAATTTCTGAGATGCATATCTCGCGTTGAACTTCCGAGTGGTTCATATAGCTTCCGAGCAGTTAATAGAAGTTTCGAGATGTTCATAGAACTTCTGAAATGTCACTAGAACTTCCGATCAATTCATAGAATTTCTGTTCAGTTCACAGGACTTTCGAGAAATTCATAGAATTTTTGAGATGTTTATAGATCTCCCAAGATGTTCATAGAACATTCGAGCGGTTCACAGAAATTCCGACCAGTACGCAGAACTTCCGAGATGTTGATAGAACTTTCGAGGTATTTATAAAACTTCAGAGATACTCATAGAACTTCCGAGATGTTCATAGAATTTCCGAGCAGTCCCTAGAACTTCCCAAACTAATAAAACTTCCGAGCTGTTCATGGAACTTCCGAGATGTCTATAGAACTTCCAAAACTTTCATAGAACTTCCGTAATGTTCAAAGAACTGCCGAGATGATCATAGAACTTCCCAGCAGCTCATAGATCTTCTGAGAATTTGATAGAACCTACGAGCAGTACATAGAATTTCTGAGATTTATTATTATTATTGTCTTTACTAAAAAGCACATCTTGCATTGAACTTCCGAGCGGTTCATAGAACTTTCGAGATGTTCATAGAACTTCTGAAATTTCCCTAGAACTTCCGATCAATTCATAGATATTCTGTGTAATTCACAGGGCTTTCGATAAATTCATAGAATTTTCGAGATGTTTATAGAACCTCCGAGATGTTAATAGAACTTCCTAGCAGTACACAGAACTTTCGAGATGTTGATAGAACTTCCGAGATGTTCATAGAACTTCAGAGATTCTCATAGAATTTCCGAGAAGTCTATAGAACTCCGAGAAGTTTATAGAACTTCCAAAACTCTCATAGAACTTCAGAGATGTTCATAGAATCTCCGAGATGTTGATAGAACTTGCGAGTTGTTCATAGAACTTCAGATAGTCTAATAAAACTTTCGAGATGTTCATAGAACTTTCGAGGAGTTTAAAGAAATTCCAAAACTCTCATAGAACTTCCGTGATGTGCATGGAACTTCCGAGATGATCATAGAACTTCCGAGCAGTTAATAAAACTTCTCATCAGTTGAAGGATCTTCTAGGATTTAATAGAACTTCCGAGGTGTATTATTATTATTATCTTTACTAAAAAGCATATCTCACACAGAACTTCCGTGCAGTTCACAGGGCTTTCGATAATTTCATAGAAGTTTTGAGATG